GTATCATCTTAGATCAAAATCCAATTACACACCCATCGGTTCTGTCTGACTTTATAAAGCTTTATGTACATTCTCTCCTAAAAAGTTAGTTCACTGCAAAACATGAACAATTGGTTTGGATTGTCAAGTATCACAGAAATCTGAGGAAAGTATAAAGAGATTTTAATCTCTACTAATTAGCTCTTAAAAGTAATTTTGGCCGCTATGCTGGTATTGTTAATGTAAGACAAACTTTAATGGTCTTCATATTATGGGAATTCCTATCACAGCTGTTTATTTCCTTAACTAAGATTAGAACTTGTAAAATCCATACCAAGAACCAGACCAAAAGCCAATGCACCTAATTGTTATCTACTTCTGTCTTTTAAAAGGAGAAGGGTAATATCTGACCAAGCTTTTTTTGAAAAAAAGGGAAAACCCACGTTAACCCATAGAGGATGCTGCCTTTCCAAAAAATCAGTGTGACATCAGCAAGAAGCATAAAACTTGGCAAGTTTATCCAGTTTCTCTCACACAGCTGGACACTGATTGAGATACAGACGTTGTTCTACATTAAATATTGCTCATGCAGAGATAAAACAAGAATAGGCAAAGCTAAAATACAGTGGTTTGCTGGGTTGTTTTTTTTTTCCTAGCACTTAGCACTCATCGTTGTCACCAACATGGGCAGAAGGGCAAGTTCCCAGTCGTACAGACAGGTATTCACGGGAATGCTTTTCAAATTCAGCCAGTCAGTAATTACTGAAACTGCTTTGTTTGAAATGGGAACAGAGGAGACAGCCTGCAAGAAGTTAATCAGAAAATAACTACCCTGGCCCAGTTCTGCTGGGATCTGAATTTGAGGTTGTGGCTTGGTGGGGGTTACTGAGGAAGCTGTCTTAAAAGCAGATGCAACACGATTTTGAAGATAATGAAGCTACAGCAGCAGAGACACTCAAAAGGCCTTTTGTTTGTTTTTAAGGCAGGGAAAGAAGAGAAAGGCTGTTATGAAATCCCACATAAAGCCAGGGAAAAACAAGAGGAAAATGTGAAGTGTGAGCAACCAGTCCTGCATCCAGCTGGACACCCTGCACCTCCATCCCTGAGCCCAGCACAGCCATCCCTGTGGCAAGCTGGGATCGTCTGTCCCCGAGTCCCAGTGTCAGGGAACAGCGGGATGTTCCCTCTGCAGCAGCACCCACCCCACCAGCTCTCTAGAAACACTGGCACATATCTGAGCGCTTAGCGCAGAGCCTGCTCCACCCGGGGCTCTCGCACAGTATCATATTCATCTGTCACGTGGGTCAAGCCCAGGCGGTCAAATCCAACATCTACTCCATCTCCCCTCGTCATAAAACCTCCCTGAGAGTCACATATCCACTGAAATAACAGGGTGGCACCTACCAGAGCCAGGCCTGCCCCAGGGCGATGTTAAAAATAGGGAACTCACAGAGTAAGAGCTGCCACTAACCACAGCAAAGGGAGAGCCCAACGCTGCTCCCTCCGGCTCCCACAGCTCCCTCTGGCTCACATTCATGCCCAGTCTTGACTCCTGCTAACAAGGGAAGGAGAGACGAGTCACCTCCTAAACCAAGGCACGTGCCCAGGAACCATACAAAACAGGACTGTACCCCTGTCCTTGACAGCTCCTGCCCTGCTTCAGGAAGGGTCCCTCCAGCACTGGAACCTGCAAAGGCATTCTTCTGCTGAGCAAAAACTGTCCAAAACAGGACTCTGGAGCAAGATTGTGGCTGTTCCCTGCAGCAAGCTAAGGTGAGCCTCACTGCAGAAACTGGAGAAATGGCCCAAACAAGGCAGTAACTGGTCCAGAGAGTCCCAGCCCAAGGGAGCTAAGAATTAGAGCAACAGCCATCCCAAACTACAGCATCCCAGGGCCCAAGGCTGGTACAGAAAGCGAACGCAGATGTCAGGGGAGATCCTCAACGCACATCCCAGCTGGAGGGTAGGACCCTTGGGAGAAGCAAATCTGTGCAGGCACTGCAGGAATGGAGCCACACAAAACCTGGGAAAGCCCAGGAACGACAGACACCCCAGGAACGACAGACACCCCAGGAACGACATGGTCAGGCAGCAGCAGGCAAACAGGGAAGTGGCACAGAGTGCTGCCAGCCTCACTGGGACACCAGTGACGGTGTGGAAAGGCAGGCATCTCTCCTCTTGACTGATAGGAATCCTGCTGACAGCCACGGAGCAGCAGCAGAAGCAAGGAGGATTTTCTGGTAGTTGTAGCACAGGAACATCGATCTGGACAAGGACAATGTCCCTGCTCCTTTACGGACGAACTATCGTGGCTGACACCACAGGTGATCTTTCCACAACACAAGTCTGCACCCAACAGCAGTGAAAATGTAAACACGTTGGAGGAAGAGAGGCAGGAGCATGAAAGCAAATGCTGCTGCACATGAAGGTGATGGGTAACCTAGAGAAATCCCAGACGCCAGAGTCAACCAACAAAAATACTCCCATGGGCTTCTCAGGGAAGGGAGAACTGTGTGCCCAGAGAGACACAAGAAACAAAGCTGTGAGGAAAGATGGGAAAGCACGTTATTATTTTGTTTTAAGCCCTTGCGACACCAACTCAAACCATATCTCAGGCTCCCTCCTGGAGTAAGGCGATCCCACTCCAGTCACAGATGAGCTGCTTTGAGACTTACCTTGAATCCAATCCCACCAAAGCCTCAGGAAGTTATTCTACAAAAATCAAAGCACAGTTTCTGCTGCATTTCTCCATTTGCTGAAGTTTATTGTATTTGCAAAGAATTAAATGAACAATTTGGCTGTTTCCAGATGAGCTGCGTTGCTTTCACAGTACTGTAAGCACACTGTGAAACTTTTTCTTTTTTTTTAAATTGCAAAAATGGCTCAATACTTTCTTCAACAACCCCCTGAGCTCCACAGCACACAGAGTCCTATTATTACTGATGTTAAAGGAGAGTTCAAAGTACAGATGAGAGATTCATCCGATCTGGTCTGGCTCTGGCCTCACTATAGAAATTTTGTTGGTAGAAGAGCCTACACGTGCAATGCTTGGCAGAAAACTCAACTCTGATTTTGTCGTAGAAACCTTTAGTTTTTATTATGGTAAAAAGAGGAAAGAGAGAGGGGCAAACTCCTGGGGAGATCGTATGAATTTTACGACCACCCACTTCCTGGAGAACACCCCTTATTTTTTGCATATGTGCATAAGGACAGACTCATCACTTAACACACAAGGATTATTTTCTTTGCTGCACATCAGCCAATATGGTACACGCCAACTGTGGCAAGAACAACACATGAAAAGCCACAGACACAGTGCTAAGCAACTTGTTCAGCAACGCTCAAACTCGCATGTAAACAAGAGAGATTCAAGTTGTGTTCCCAAGGCCCTCGCCAGAGAGGAATATAGGGATAGTCTCACCCTGCTGCACTGGGATTTGTGTGTACTCTCCATTCTGGGAAGCTGACACATCATATGCTGCCATTAGATTTCTCAAATCCCAGTGGAATAAGGGACCAGAGTTAAATAGAAACATTACAAACATCCTTAATGATTTCAGAAACCTAGAAGGCCTGGGAGACTCTGAAACTGCGATGTTTGAGTGCAGAGCAGGAAATCAGCAGAGGATCAGGGCCAAGAAAACATGCTTATGCTTCTTTCAGCCCTGTGCAGCAGAAAGCCTCACTTTCCCCTAAAAGAGATGAAGATTGCAAAACACTTTTTCCCCCTCCACAAAGTTACCATAAAACATAAAATCCTTTTTACAGAAGTTTTTCACCCAAAGGGATGCTACAGAATTTACAAGCTGCCCTTGCTAAGCAATACAGACGTGCAAGAGTCATTTTCTCTGCTGCTGGAAAAAGAAAAAGTCAGCTCAGATGGAACATGATAGCTCTTTAATGGCACAGAGCTCTCCCGCTGGATCCAGCTCCGTCAGACTTGCCAGTATAGCACCAGAGGAGTTGCCTGCTTTGGTGGAGGGAGAAGGAAGCATTCATTTTTGACAGACAAATGCTACAGTGGACAAAAAAACCCCAAACAACTAATGAAATAAGCAGGACTGAAGCTTGTTCTCTCCAGCAAACCAGGCAAGAGACATCGCAACAATACATAAATGAAGACGACGTAGTGAAAGATTTCTACAATGTGCTATGTGCTGCCACTCCTTACCTCCTTGAAACTTGCTTTTCTAGTCCTTCAAAGTTTTGTCTCATTAAATTCCCTGTCACTGTTCCGTTTTAAGAATGTCCTTGTTAAAACTAAAACACCTGTAAACCTTCCCTGGGCACTCTTGCCTCTTCTTGGGAAAAAACACATGATCTTGGCATTCATTCAATCTGAAGTGACAGATGCTGCTGAAGAAAGTAAGACAGAACTTCTCAGCCTCTTCCAAGTCAAAATCTTACCTCCCCAGCTGTAAAAATATAGTAAAGAATAGCAAGAAAAGAACAGAAAAGCTAAGGGTGATTTCTTTCTGGTTATGTATTTATGGAACACTTGCTTTGGAACAAAGGTGATGAACACTCGCAGTTTCTGTTGTGTGTTTCTGGATGTCCTCAAGTCAGCTGCAGACACCCTCATTAACCAGCTCAGCTCTAGAAAGGAGCTGCCAGTTAATTGCTGCTGCACTGACAGCCAGGGAGTTCTGACATATAAGATGGGTCCTACACACACACACACACCGGCTTTTTGGACAGCTGATGCAGTTTTACTTTTGGCAACAGAATATTGCATTTGTAAAGAATACTGATTTTTGGCTACCTGAACCAATGTTAAGGTAGGTAAAGTTTTAACCTTGAACTCCATGACAGCATTGACTTAAGTATGTGAGTGTATAGGACCAGAAACAGGTCAGAGACCCCAGCAACTGAAACAGCACTAGAACCCACAGCTATATATGGCAGGCAATTAGCGTTTACATATTTAAGCCTCAAGACAATCCATCACTGGTGCATCTCACCAACTAGTAAAACATGTATTTTGCTCTCAGCCTGAGCGGATTTGCCAGAAGCAGCCTCTGTCACACTACCTGCATGCCTCTGTCATGCCCGTCTAACTGCACTTTCAGTTTGTGAAGCTCTTCGATCTCTCGGTTGTGCCGCTCTGTTTTGTGCCGCACCAAAGAGCGGTAGAAGTGAATGGTGAAGACGACAAAAATCAGACCCACTGGGACCATGATGATGGTGGAGACCAGTGCTGACTGCCAACCCGCGTGGCTGCTGGGCTTCTCGATGTTGGTGGTCTCATTTTTCAGGATGGAGCCCACAGGCAGAAATTTTATCCAGCACAGAAGCACAACTTCCGCAAGGAAAAGGAGGATCCCCAAGACAGTGGAGAAGCCCCACGCCAGCTCGATGTAGGGGTGCATGCGCTCATGTGGGGACTCACTGATGGAGTTCAGGTTGTGGATGTTGCTCACTGCTTCCACGTTTGGCAGAATGCAGGTGCTGATGAGAAGGGCAAAGAGATGAACTGCCACCAGGACTGTTGTGCAGGCACTGAAAGCAATCAGCAGCATCGGGGGATACTTGTACTGCACCTCCAGCTGCACCTCCACCATGGCAACCTGGGGGAAAGGAACAAAAAAAAAAAGCTTGTCAACAGCTGCTAGTTTTCCTCTTTTCAAAGCTTTCATCCTGGAAAGAATATTCAGGAAGAGCACCTAAAGGTCAAGTACACACTCAAGTGCTTTTTAGAACCAGCGTAGATGGATCATTTTCCCACGAAGACGTACACAGGCTGCAGCTTGGCTTTCTGAAGGCTTTCTGTGCACGTTCTTCTGCACTGCAGTTTTCTGCAATAACAGACCTCTCCTTGCAACCATGAGCCATATGAACTGCATCAAACCGAACACACAACACAAGGAACTCATTAGACAACAAGTGGAGCTCGGAGGCAGCTGACAACCTGCTAGCCAGCCCATCACACCTTCTCCTTTCGCTAACTGCTTGCGGCTGCGGCACAGGAAGTTTCAACTTCAGGCACGAAAAGAAAAGCAAAAGCAAGCAGCCCTCCTGGCCAGCGGCCAGCAAGGTTTCACTACCTCCCATGGGAAGCACGCAAGCTACTTCACAGTTTAAGTTAGTCCATAGTTAAAATAGCTGCCTTCTATTCTCAGAACATCGTACGTTCGTTTTTATTACAATATGCCCAGATACAAGTTATTTATATCCTCAAATTTCTCCCTTGAGATCTAATAACTTACTGATATACTCAGCAGAAGTGGACAGCTACTGGCTTATGGGTGTGTTCAGCAACTCAGACAGGAGTCTGCTTTCTCAAAACAAGAGCTATCACATAGCAAGTCTCTAAAGCTGGCTTTTTTTTTTTTTAATCAAATAAAGCTTAACAAACAGAATAAGCACAAGAGAGCAGGGGGCTCTTCTGACATCAGAAATGGAGTCCTAGTGCAGGTCTATTAACTGGTTGAGCATACAAATTTGTAAAATTACTTAAACTACCTGTGAAGTTAAATAGGGTGTGGTGTCACCCCTGAAAGGACTGCAGAAACCTTGTGCTAAGAGAAGCCACAAAAACAGTGGGCAAGACTATCCAACATTCCTCTCCAGCAACTCCTTAGCAGCTTGCTTGGATCCAGAGCTGCACTTAGTGATTTGCACAGATAATAATGCAGCCTGGCAGCTGGCAAAACCTCTGGTGATCCCAGGTGACCCACTGCTCCGGCGCAGCACGGCTTGCTGGGTGCATGAAGGAAAGGAGAAGCTGATGCTTGGATGTCTGCCCCAGGGCAGAGCCTCTCCAGACCATCAGGAGAAGGCAAAGTTGGAACAAGCAGCTCGATTCTGGGGCATTGATGGATTTGGCAGAATGATCACTTCATTACTTTACCCAGACCTCACACGAGCCCACTGCTGAGGAGCCATTTCAGGCTCTGTATAATAATCTGCACCATTCGCTCTGGCATTACTTGTTAATAATGTTATTTAGGCACTGGAAGATTAGGGGTACACTCATGTTCTCCCTGAAAAGAATTAAAGGCAATGGAAAAAAGTGCGAGGCTGCTGCCTTACCTGTATTTACTTTGAAACCATCAGCAGCCTGAACAAGGGGATCACGGTCAAGTCTGAACACATTTAGTAGCAACCAAGACATAACATGTGCGTCTGGGGCAGCAAATGGTCAATCTCTGCAAATCCAGATTTCATACTTACATAAACTAATTAGGATATTAGAGACACCAAAAATATTGTGGTAGTTCTTGGGCATTCCCAGCCTTTTGTTCTGATTATAAACATGTGGTGTTTTTACTTTTTTGTTTGGTTGTTTTTTTTAAAGGTTCCTGTTTGCAGCTTATAGTAGTTCTTGTATAGTGGAGAAAATAATAACACAGGATTGGCTTCACCATCTACCACAAGGTCAGTTTAATTAAAACACATGCCACATTACCCTGCATATGTTCTCTTTGCAGATGCCCCTATATTGATTCAAGGAGGAGGAGATCAAACTTACTCTGCTGCACTGTTCTGTACAATGTATTTGTCCGGTGTTGTGATTGCCAGTCACACCCCATCAGCCAGGAAAAGCTGCAGGTATATTGTTCATTATTGGGTGCTCAATACCCAGAGACACAGTATTCATCAAGCTGAACAGGAATTGTACCTGCATGTTCAATTTATAGCTTTATATTAAAGCTGAAAGCCTGGCTGATGTCAACGTATCAACTTCTACTTGTTATCCTTCGCGTGAGCAGCACTCTTCAGCTAATTGGATGTTTCCTCCCAGACTAACCTATTCCCTAGGGCTAGCTTCAGCTGTGCAACGTGATGAATTTTTAACACTGACTGATGGCTCGGTAAGAGGTATTTCAGGGAAAAACATCAACAATCCAGATAGGGCAGCAAGGCAGAAAAACAGTTCATTTAACCAAACAAGTGCTGAGAAGGTGAGTGAGCTCTTATCATCACTTTACACTGTACAGACTGTCATGTCATTCTCTGACCGGGATAAAAGAAAGAGGACACGCTGACATAACCCATTTAAAAATCATTAAATATGCTGCTTAGTCTGTGAAACTTAATATGTCACGTTTGATACAATTATACTCTTCCGTTGATAACAGCCTCCTTTATTGTAACCTCTTCCCAGAAGGTGTCAAGGGCTTGACTTTGCAAGGCACTGAGCACTGTGGAGCTGCAGGATATCTCAGCATAGGCTTAATTTTGAGAATCTCCCTGTTGAACTTCATGCTCACAGGTTTGGTAAAAGACCAAGTACTCAGAACATTTTAGAATTAAACTGCAATTAAATGACATAGCCAGCATAGCCCAGATTGTCCACAACAAAGGTGATTCTCATCTTGAGAAATTTAGACCAGGATAGATAATATCAGGTAAAAGGATGACAAATGTTTTAACATAAACCATGGTACATTCACACAGACGGTTTGGCAGCACCTAAAAACAATCACTCCAGTAGATCTGTTGGATTATTATTATTTTTTTAAATTCAAATACATACCCTGTAACAATTGGACAAATCTTGAGAAGACTGATGAGCAGTAATAGCTCTTATTTCCATCAGGAAAATCATTGAGGAGGCTTTTTAAGCTCCCTCTAAATCTCCTTTGCCTGTAGTCTCCCTGGGGCAGATGCAGTAGCCCTATAGCTCATCTCCAAACAGACCTGGTGCTGGAAAGGACCCACATCCTCCTGATCTTCCCAACTCTGCCAGAAATACCAGAGATAGCATCGAGAAGGTTCACATTATTCTGCAGCCTGTCCAGAAGGAGCTGGATCAAAGCCACCGCCTGTTGATTAAATACCCATCAGCTCGTAATAATTTTCAGCCAATATGGAACTGGCTTGAATCAAACACACTTGACAGGGAAGTAAATAAAGCAATAGCCAAGCCCTGTATGACATTTGTTTACATAGTTAAATGCACTCAGGGCTTCAGGGAAACTATTTCACTCTAAATAACTTCTCTACTTTCATCGATAGCCAAATAGATGCTCTTATTAAGAGAGTAAACATCCGTGTACCAAAGACGTGTGTGCCAAATTACCAGTGGAGAAATAACCTGGTAGGAATAGATACCTCAGCTTTCACTGGAAGGTCCACTACGATCAGCTGGGAAAAAAACCTTGCTAAGAAAGAGAGTTCCTTGTTGCAAAAATTTTTATTTCCAACAATTCCTGATTTCAAGTGTGCTTATTACATTAGGTTGGTGAGTATAATTAACACTACTTATACCTATGTGTTTATTTGACTTGCATTTTAAACAGTTTAAAGAGAATGGAAGTCAAATGGTTAATTTTGTGTGTTTTGCCAAGGATTTTCAGCAACTTTCTGTTGGTCGAGTTGAGAAGGCACGCTTTGTTTTCAGAGCTTTGTTTTCAGATAAAGTGGTTCAGCCCTGCAGTGTGGGTGGGCTGCAAGCCCCTCCAAATCCCAGCGACAGCACCCCCCAGCACGGGCACCTGCTTGTGTAACCACGTTGCCTAGATAGATCCGTTTACAACACTACAAAACATTAATTTAATAATCGTGTTAAAGAGAACAGTCACAAATAACTAACCCGGAGCTCAAGTAACCCAGAAGCGTGAAGGGCAAGCACATGAGCTGCTTTTTAAAGTAAGAAAGCTTCGGAGTGAAAGAAATCTACAGGAGAGCACTCAACTTCCTCAAAACAAGGAGGGACCTTCTGCCATTTCAGCACACAAGTTTGGTTACAAATAAACATACGCTGTATAAAAAGTTTTTACAAGCATTGCGTGCACACAGTCAGTGAGTGGAGAGGAATCACAAAGCAACCAGCACCCTCTCTCCCTGCAGCCTGCTCCCACTGAACTCCCCACTTCCATTTCTCCAACTTCACTCTGGGTGACCAACTTTGTCACCCCAAATGGACTGCTGTAATGTTACACAATTCATGTTCTGGGGGATTGAGGGAGGAAAAAACAGCGGGAAAAGCTAAAATAAAACAAGTAAAGCCACCCAGAAAGTTCCTGAGATGCATCTTCCACCTCTGCTCCTGAGCTGCAGGATGCAACATCTTCGCATCACGCCCCCCTTGCCCAGGCATTGCCCCCTCTTCTCTGCATTCAGCTGACAAACCTCAGGAACAACCAGATCTGCCCATTTCCTGAGCAGAAAACCTCCCCCAAATAGGTTTCAATTCTCACTCCCAATAAGCAAGAACTGGAGGGGACATGACGAGGCTCACAGCAGCATAACACGGCTGTGTTTTGCCAACACCATGGCTTGGACAGGTCTGAGCACTGGACCCCTGTCTCAGTCTGGTTTATTTGCTGGCTCCCTGATGTGGTTTGGACCTATGCAGATAGCTCCCAGATAACACCCAAGAGCTGCATAGAGGAAAGCAAGCGCCAGGGATTACTCCCAATAGGCAGCACTGACTAAAATATCCCAGGTTTGACTCCCTTCAGGCTAGAGTCCTCTGAGAGCAGGTCCGAGGCTGCAGGGCCTCTTCTCACACCTCAGCGTATAACACCATCTCCCTGATCACGCTATGCAAACTTCACTCTGGCAGACTGTGACCCAACCTCCACCTTCTTTTAGACACCATGACCTGAAAAAACACACAGACAAATTAAGATAATGTTCAGGACCACAGCAACCGCAGGGGCCCAGGGGAGCAACACACCCAAGTGCAACCTCATGTGAAGGCAGCCAGCGATGAACGGCCCCGGGGCTGAAGGAGAACCCAGGTCTCATTTTGTTTAGCACTGCTGGTGGAGCACTTGGGATCATTTGCAGGTAGAGGATTAGTATTTTTAAAGGGCTGACTTGGGAGTGTGTGGGTTGACTGTTAGGCAGCTCATGCATCCATGCTGCCTGAGAGAGCCAGACTCAAACTTTGCAGCAGCAGCCAAGCAGAAACCCCCAGGCAGATGCCTCCTGCCTCATCAGAAAACAACAGTATGTCCTGCTTCTTCACAGGAGGAAAACACTGATTAATAGATGATTTTAGAAAACCAAAACCTTCATGATCCAGAAAGCATTGCTACAAAATGCACGTACCATTGCAAATCCAGAGAGCAGAGCAGAGGTTCTGCTGGAAGCTTTCAGTTTGGCTCGGCTCAGGTACAATTTTCTCCACGAAAGGGCTTGAACGGAGTGGTGGTTTGATGTGACCAGTTCCAGATAGCTGCGCCGGACCCAGTCTCGATAATCCATGCCTTTTGTGCCAGGTTCAGAGCAGCAAGCAGGAGTGGAAGGATCCACCGGAACATTTAATTCAGAACTCATGATGAAAGAAATCCTGAGGGAACAAGAGAGTCATGTTCAAAAGGAGGTAGCAGACAGACAAGCATCAGCTACTGGAAAAGCTGTGTTTCAACAAAGTTGCCCTTGGTCAGTAGAAAAATGATGGACCAAATACCATCACACTTGCAAGGCACAGAGAGAGGAGTATCCATAATTGCTAAAAATGACCATGAGAACTAGGAAAGATTACCCAAGTAAACACGGGAACTACTCCAGCAGGAAATCAGAAAGGCTGCGCAGCATCTGGCTTTTCATTTCCAGGCTGGCATCTCAACTTTCCCCTTTAATTCCTCCTTGCAAATAAAAAAAATCTGTTTTACATAAAGACACTTTGGAAATAAAGCTCCCATTTTATCATTTTGTTTTAAGCTGACAGTTCATTTCACAGTGCCTCATGGATTGTCTCCAAATACTCTCCTTTAGAGTACCAAAGTCACACCAGCTGGTATGTTCAGGGAATCACTTTTTGCTTTTTCTTTGCTTAACAGCTTTTCAGTTAAACCATCGCCCATCATAGCTTTGTTTAGCTGGACACAGTTCTTCCACAAGACCTCCCCCCACAGCTGAATGCAGCGTAGGGTTAACAAATGAACTTCCCAAGCTCTTGCAGTGGGAAGTTAAATTTCCTGAACTGCTCACACTTTGCTTATCAGCCACATCTGACCAAGAATCCTTTTCTTTTCATTGCACTGATGGCTCTTAGCATGGGGAAAGGAAAAGACAATTCCAAGGGGAAAAGCAAGCTGCCCTCCAGGTAGTTTCAGCACTTTCAGATTCCAGAGATTACACTGAACAATGTAAGAAAGCAGCAAGACTGTTTGAGGTGGTGAATGCCACAGCTGCCAGCGGAGACAAGCGGGAGGTCCAAACCATCTCCTCCTTACAGCCCAGCACAGCCAGGCTGCTGCCAAACGGCTCTGCTCATCTCCGGGCCATCCACAGACACCCAACACAAGTCACTGCATGTGTTGAGCAAAAATTTCCTCAGCTCTGACAAACATCTGACACTAGATGTTTAACTCAGCCTTCCAAAAAATGGAAACTATGATTCTCTGATTCATCCCCACACTGGCAACTCTGCCACAGACCACCACCGTGGTGGCAGGTAGCAACACCACACCAGACCCTTCTGGCTATAAATACTTACCAGCTCCCTAGGAGGAGGAGATGAATGCCCAGAATCACACATGCCGTGGCACTAATTAGTCCCAGCGCCACACCTGAAGGTCACAGGCACCTTGCTGTTGGCTTGAGAGGAGCCCCAGTCCTGCCTGCATCCCCCCTGCTCTACCCAGCTCTCCACAGACACAGGCCACATGGTGAGAGCTAATAAAACAACATTTGCTGTGAGATTTGAGGAAGTGGTGAAGATAAAAAGGACACCAACTGCCCACAGCTCTGAAGGGTATTACTAAAAGGGAACAAAGCAGTTTCAGGCATAATAAGAAAGATTAGACTGCAGCAGCAAATAAAGCATTGCAGGTTGTAAAATTGTCTGTCCCTCCTGAGCACAGTGGGATTTTAGATTCCAGCCCCTTTAGGCATAACAAGGATGGCAGGAAGAACAACAAGGATATCAGGAAGTACAAGGATGGCAGGAAGAACGCAAGACTCCTGGGCAGTTTTTGACAAGGCCACTATTCCAGCCCCAGGAGGACTCCAGGATGGCTCCTGAACTGCTCAGCAGTTCTAAAATTATTAAAACAAACAAACAAAAGTGTAAAAGAACTTTCACACAGCAATAAAACCAAGAACAGAATAACAGGGACAAACATCTCTGCTTGCTCTGTTTCCACAAAAGGCAAGAATCACCTATTTTATAGAAGAAGAAGAAAAAAAACCCCCATCTTTCCCCAAGCCTGCTGGGAGGATCAGAGCAGAGACATTCTGTGAGCAGCAAAATTACAAAGCTGTTTCCTGTGATAACATCCTGTGTGGATGCTGCAATGTATAGCGTGGGGTGAATTTATTAGCTTTGTCTGTAGTTGGGACACTGATGGCCTCTACCCTTTCATTTATTTTCACAGAATGTCCAGGAACTTTGTATGTAGGAAACTTCAACCCCTGGGACAAATTCCATTGAAAAGACAAATGAATTCAGAGGTTACAGAGGGAGAGCAAGACTACCCAATCACATCTGCTTCTTTCCTTAGAAAAATAAACTAAAAATACCACAAGGATGAATTTTCACTCTGGAGCAGCTCAAGAGATGTTCCCAAATAAGTAAACAACTTCAGAATAAAATCCATAAAGACAAACCTAGCTCAAACAAGCAGTAACAGGACGGCAAACTCACCTGGCTGGCTACAGACATGGAGAGACTGGATGGAGGGCTCCCAGAGCTGAAACACAAGACCAAAGAAGTATTTTACATGCACCTTAAAGTATTAAACCATGTATCTTAAGGAGTTTTACTCTGGAAATACTTTTTGGCCAGTTTTCTGTATCAAGACAGAGTTATTCTGGAGATTTCACGTTCCTGCCTTGTAACATTAAAGGTTTAGGGCGTTTGTTCTTACAGAAATAACTATCCTTCAGGGTTTTACTTCCCCAGGAGACCTCTTCCTCAGCCTAACAGCCAAGCTCTGGCCACATCCAGTCCCGCTGTGTCTTTAACTCCCTTTCCTTGCACCGCTGATGCACTTGACCCCGCTTCATTTCACACACTGAAGACAGAAAGCTCTCTGCGACTGCCACCTCACATTGATGTTGTTAATCTGTCCAGCACCGTCCTTTGCATCAGCAAGTAGCAGGGAAACCCTGGCCATGCCTTACACCTCAGCCACCCTGTGCAGTAGCAAACACACGTGCAGGGATTTCTTCCCAGCGGGGAACGAAGCAGACGTGAAGATCCTCCTCCCTGAACAATCGCCCGCAGAACATTGTCTCAGCAGCACCATCAGCTTCTCTGCTGGCCTTTGGGACACCAGCCCCACCTCACACCCAGGTTTTTGCCCTACACCCTGAGGTGGATTTGTACCAGTGCTTTTTTTTCTCCCCTGTGTATCTGTATTTATATTGTCTCCTGTATAGGACTGTTTGAGAGCCCACACACCATGGCTAAGCCTGACCCCGGGCCCCACGACTCCCCCTTCTTCTACTACCCCTCAAGCTATGGACCTCTACTACCCCCTGAGCTAGGGCCCCCCAAGCTCAGGACCTCTTTGCTATGGGGAACCCTTACCTGTGTCCTCTTCTGGCTTGGGACCCCCCCCCAGCAGCACCCCTGGGATGTCACACCACCCAGAGAGGGTGTGAACACCTCACAGTTGTGTCTCCGTTACCGAGGAGATCCCCCCCCAAGCAGGATGTGACCCCCTCACCCACCATCACAGCTGGGACCCTACTCACAGGGCACCCCCTGAGCAGGGGATTTCACCTCCTCCTTCCCAGCCCCTCTCAGCGCACCCCAGGCAGGATGCGACCCACACAGCAAGGACCTCCCCTCCAAAAGCACCCCCAGACAGGGGACCCCCCCAGGCCAAGGTGTGACCCCCTCACAGCGAGGAGCCTCCCTTCCAAAAGCACCTCCAGACAAGGGACCCTCCCCAGGCAGGATGGGACCCCCTCACAGCGAGGAGCCT